GTTGCTTTATATTTACTCAACTTAGTTAGTTTAGTGGAAATTGTTGACATAACTACATTAAGTAAATCCAACAATCTGTTTTTTGAGTGTATGTTTAAAACACAAACACGCCAAAGGTCACAAACTACATTTAGGATTAGGGATGTCCCGATCCAGATTTTTTGGCTCCTGATACAATCCGATTTTTTTTAACGATTAGTCTTTCCGATACCAATCCGATAGCTTTATTTCTTTATTTCTTTCCAAGTGACAAAGTTCGTAGTATTAAAGTGAGCCCTGCTGTTCCCACCACGACAAACATCCAGTTTGCAGATTTTGCAAGATGGAGTTTCAGCATCATTGTTTTCCACTGAAAACTGTTCCCTCACTGTGGACATGGTTGCATATTTGTGTGCGTCTTGACTTCTTAATGGCAGCTGTAAAGCATGATGATGCTGAAAACTGTAGTAACAAACAAAAAAAKCAAAGTTTGTGTTTAACCGACCAGTCCACAAAAACTAAATAAATGAGACTTTAGAGCCAAACAAAACTCATAGAGGCAAAGTGATTACAACTGAGTGTCTCACACAAAAATATATCCTAAGGGAACCTTTCTGATATAAAAATGAGAATTATCTTACATAACAACAGCAATAAACGTGTTAATTGTTTAAAGGTGTATTTTTATAACAGCTCCCAGCAGCTGTCACTGTCATTTTTAGGTTCATAAATGAACACTCATTGTCTTTTTTTGGATTCTTTCTCAGCTCCGTTTGCTGTGCTCCAGCTCTGCAGAGTCAGAGGCTGTGCTGCAGCTGCAGATCAACTCTTTGTGAAAATTCACGAGAGAGCAAAGACACAAAAACCTCAGCCAGACTCAGAGTTTCCACATTTGACCAGGATGGGTGGAGTCTGGGCTAAACCCAGTGATATGTTGTTTAAGTCTGGTGGAGCGATGAAGATCATTGCTCACATTAACTGTGTACACATTTAGATCAAAGAGATTTTCCCAACGGACCTGATGAACTCCTGTAGTTAAAATTGTGTCAAATGTTTTGTTTGGCAGGTTTTAAAGAGACGTCTCTCCATATTTTCTCAGAACTAAAGATTGAGAGACTACAGAGGAGAAGATGAGGCTGTTTCCTTCAGTGGTAATTTACTAACGCCAGGTTTTGTTTCCCTTTTCTACACTACAACTCCTTGTGGACTTGTGCTTTTCTTGTCTAAAATTGGCATCAGTAAACATCAGTCGGCACAAAGAGGCAGCTGTGTGTGTCTGCTGATAAAAGACCACCTCGTTCCTGAAGCCCGCTCTGCCAGCAAGCATCACAAACCTCAGAGCTCCTGCCAAACCGTCTGACGCTGCACCACAGCCCAAACGGCTCAGAAGAGCTCAGATATCAAGCACGGTGGGGAGGAATCTCAAAACTTGTTTTTAAGAAAACAAAACGTCCCTAAAATTATCCAAAACTGGCTTTTCCTTTCATTGTTTCTCAGCTGAATTCAACTTTCCAGCTTTTAATGACGAACCAAAACAGGTTGGGTTTCTGAGAATAAAATGGGAAAATGATGTTTACACAATGGAAACAGTGCAACACTATAAATACTGTCTCACTTTAAYCAGAAACAGTGGAGCCATGTTAACAGGCCTTGGAAAGCCTAAAATAAGCCTAGATGGTTAGCCTTGGTTATTTTACACAAACTCACTGATAGGACCTGACATTGCAGGAATTAATGAATGTGGGGGGAAAAACACGAGACATGAAGGTCAGAGGAGGAAGAGTTGTCAGGAGTAGGAGGAGGGAAGTAAATAATATTTGACCACAGAAACAGTTGTGTGTGGATGTGGAATGAGGAATGAGGGAGGACAAAGAGCATTTAGTCTAAGTCAGCACAATAAGCTTCTTACTTCTGCCTCCTGAGACACTAATCTGTCCTTCAAACAGCAAACACAAGGGGAACGACAAGACAGGAAACCTTCTGAACTAGTTGCCACGCTGTTTGTTTTCAGTTCATCTGAGCTGTAAAACACAACAATTTGATGTGCTTCACTGGCCTCTGGTGGTCATAGAATATACTAATAGCCAGACAGTGGAACAAATTACAAGAGTTATCATCATCACATATCAGGGAGTGTTCTAACAATAACCCAAAAACTGTTTGGACTGCAYCACATCACATTTCAAGTACCATGCATTCAGGTTTTGCATTATAATAATATATTTGGGCACCAGTGACACTTGTTACCCTGAAAGGAAGAAGGTGAAGATAATATATGTATGTATGTATGTATGTA